AAGAGGGTAATCAAAGAATGGGAGCCGACTCAAAAGGTTTGCAAAGGGTTGAATATTTGGATACTAAGAAAGAACGTCTTCTTCATCCCAACCGGAGAACATTAATGATGTATAGAGGATCCAATATAGTACCCTCATTTGCATTGACAGTTGTTTCAGGGACATTTTTTCGATGTGTCCCAAGTACAACACTCTCTTTCTAGCAGTACTCTTGTTGCAACATATGGACCTTTCCAATCTGGAGCTAATTTTCCTTTAGTTGCTCCGAGTCTTTGTTTTCTTTTCTTGAACTTATTTTCATTGCATTCTAATACTTGATTCATTATTTCGGAGTTGGACATCATTTTATGATCTGGAAATGAAGTCCGCAAGCATGTCATGTTATTGAAATCTGCATTTAACAAAACTAAAAAGAGAATAAGAAAAATGACAAGATTAAGAAAAGAGACATTCCTGGACAATGAAATATTAATTTGATTTGATTTTTTTGATTCTTTTTTATTTTGATTTTTTTTCGATTTTTTGAAGATAGAAGGGTTTAGATCAGAAAGTAAGACAATAAAGTGAAACATCCGGATCACACCCTGAGATAATCCGGACGTAGAAAGGACAGCAAGACTGGCTACTAGGACTCCCGTCTGATGGGGAACTTTCATGCTTGGCGACTATTTTTGGCTTTTCTTCTGTCTCGGCAATGGCTGCAATGACATTTGACAACATATTCGCGAAAGCTTTTCATAGTTTTCTTTTTCAAATTGGACAAAGTGTTTCTGTCGGGAGCGATATCCACATTATACTAGAACTGGCGGACAAAATCTCGGGCCATATCATCCTACACGTGCCAATGGGTAATTTCTTGATCCGTATACCACTCAGAAGCGATTCCGGTGAGGCTTTTCCTAAAATAGGCCATTAGCAGCTCCTCTTTTCCACCAGCGCCTCTCAACTGGTTACAATATCATTTCAGGTGAGCGACCGAGTCTCCATACCCGTCGTACTTTTCAAATTTTGGCATCTTGAAGCCAGCTGGCAAGTGGACATGGGAAAACATACAGAGGTCAGAGTATGAGACACTTATTTGGCCACTTAGACCTTGCATATTTTTCAGACTTTGTTCTAGGCTCTTCATCTTCTGAGCCATTTCCTCTTGATCAGGATTTTTAACAACCTTTTCTTGCTCCCCCGAGAGATCATACTGTGGAGGTCGAGTGAAAGAGTACGGGGTCACATATGTTATTTCTGATTGAATTTGTGGACCCTGAAAGGTGAACATTGGAAGCTTAATATACGCCCGTGGTAAAGTTGGTTGTGCTCTGGTACAGATTGGTGTTGTAGAGAACAATATTGGAGGTACCTTGGAAACTAGCACCTGGGGGCGAACCATAGAAGGCATGCCAGGAACATTGGATAGCATTGGAGGGTGCCCGCATGGGATGAGCGGGTTGGGCACAGGGGCATTGGTAACCTCACCTGACCTGGGGATCAACTCAGGGAACCTAGTGATTGCACTTGGCTGTTCCCTACCATTAGACCAGGCATCCCACATTTTCAATATGCGGAGACGCAACATCTTATTCTCTTCAGCAGCTGCTAATTCTAGCTGCAGAATAGCCGATGCCGGGTTATCCTCAAGACCGATGATTGGTAGATTGATTGCGGAGGTCATATGTGCCTTTGAATCTTGTGAAGGAGTGGAGGCTAGACTACCAAAAAAAACCAACCACCAAAACCTGGCTAGTTTGCACACCCAACAACCTTGTTAGTTTTGAGACACTTAATAGATAGGAAATCACACTTTTGGATGCAATGCACCTAAATAGTTAAACGTTTCTACCATGTGTTTTAACGGTTGCATGTTTCATCCTGGCCTTAACTAACCCTTTCACTCTGTACTTCTTTTCTTCATTTCTGCCTCTTTTTAATCACTCTTGATTTTTCATCTCGTTTTTGCCGCTATTTTATTTTTGGCATTCTCTTTTTCTCTTTTTGTTTGTCACTTTTTATTTCTTGTCGCTCTTTTTTTTTCTTTTTCTTTTACTCTTTTCTTTTCTTTTCACTCAATTTTTCTCTCTTTTTTTTCAGTTTATTTTTTCACTCAATTTATTCTATAACTATGATCGAATCTGATAGGGATTGCCAACGTATCATGATGCCGCATAAATCAGATCTAGCGTAGTTCGGGAGATCGAGAATGGAGTAAATAAACTAACTTTTTTTTTACTTTTATAAAACTCAGACCATGAAAACTTTAAGAAAAAGAAAAATATATTTTTTTGAATTTTTTTTGTTTTTCTTTTTTCTAGAATTTTTGAAAGAAATACTTTAAAAGAAGAAAGGAATTTTTTTTTGGATTTTTAATTTTGATTTTTGAAAGAAAGAATTCTGAAAATTCCTTTTCTTTTGATTGGAACTTTAGGAATTTCAAAAGTAAAAGGAAAATATTTTTGTTTGAATTTTCATTTGTTTTCTCTTTTTCTAAAGAAAAAAAAAATATTTTTGACTTTTGGATGTTGCCTCTTAATTTTTGAAAGAGGGAATTTTTAAGAAAAATAATTAGGATTTATGAGTTTTTTTTAAATTTACAAAAGTACTTCTAAAGAAAAACGAAAATATTTTTGGACTTTAATTTTAAATTTTTTTTGTTTGAAAGAGAGACTTTTAAACAAGGGAAAGATTTTTTTTTTTTTTGGTGTTTTGATTTGTTTTTTTTGAATTTTTTGGGAAAAATACTTCAAAATGAAGGAATCTCATATTTTAGTTTTTGACTGATTTTTCTTTTTTATCTTTTTTTTTTACATATGAAAGACTTTGGAAAGAAGGAAACTCTTTTTTTTGAGTTAAAAAAAAATCTTTTCTTTTTTTTGAATTTTCAAAGGAAATACTTCTAAAGAAGGGATTAAAGGAAAATATTTTTGGATTTTTTAAAAATTGGGGTCGGAACCAATGAGGTTTGCCTACGTATCTCACATCCGGTGAGAATCAGATCCGTGTAGTTCGGTCAGTTTTGACATAATAAAAAATATGATATTGACTCACTTTTATTTCTTGAAATACATTTTCCTTTTTTTTCTTTTTCAAAAATTTTGGTAGAGTTTCGAGACATTTTCAAATATCGGGATTTTTAGAACCGGGTGAATTATCTATCCTACCTCGCTCTTGGTTTTTCTCTTGATTTTCTTTTCCTAGCCGGTCAACATGCAAGCCGAAATAAAGAAATATTCATATATCACGTAGGATGCATCAGGATGGTTGGTTGTTTTGGGTCCACCTGTCCTAGACGAAACCCAACCCCTATGTTGAGTCCCCAAGGTCAAATGCACGTGATGCAAATAAACGTTCCTACTAGGGATCCGGCATGAGGTTACGTTATTCTATGTTTAAACCTGGGATTGTGTTCTAGACCTGGCTTACCCGAGCGAACAAACTCGAGCCGAAGAGGGAAAAACGTACCGGGAGCACGAAAGTCTGCCCGGCCTTGTTGCTGGCCCAACCTCGTTCTATTTGGTATAACTTCTAACATAAAAAGTGGGCCACGCGAACGTGTGCACCGTTTTTTAGAAGACTCAGGAGGGAGGCGTAAGAAGACATTTAAATACAGTTCAAGTAATATCAAAGCGGTAAATAAACGACAATTAGCACATTAGGTACACAAAATACACTAATATCAACAATAAATAAAGCCAAATAAAAATCACATTAACAAGCTCGAATTCTTGAACCCTGAACCAGAAGTTCTGGGTTCTTGTCCCCAACAGAGTCGCCAGAGCTGTCACACCTTCTTTTTTTACCGCCCGAAGGGGTATATAAGGGAGTTTTTCGAATTTAAGTGACATTATTCGATATGGGATTATTTATTTAATTTCTGAGTCGCCACTTGGAATAATTTATTTGGTGTCCCAAGTCAACGGTTTATTTTAAAACCTCAAATCGAGGAAAATCGACTTTATTTAAAAGTCTGCGAACCAGAAATTCTAAGTAAGGAATTCTGTTAACCCAGGAGAAGGTGTTAGGCATTTTTGGGTTCCGTGGTTCTAGCACGGTCTCTTAGCAGTTTATACTTGGCTTAAATAAATTGTTTAATTACTCATTTTAGGACCTATGTGCATTTATCCCTTTAACCGCTTTTAGTTGTTTGATTATTCGTAATTTTAAAATTATCTCAAAAGGAGTCACACGTACGTGTACACATTTCATTTGGTGCGTCAAGAATCATGTCACGCGTACGTGTCCAACATCAATCACGCTTTATTAATATTAAGAAAGTTAGGCCGAAGTTGCGCGAATGCATACCTCGATTTATTTTTTTAAGAAAAAATTATAATTATGTTATGCGAACGTATACATAACAATAATAATAGACTAAATCGTGCCTAAAGCAAGCTACGAATGTTCAAGATTGTTAAATACCTAAGTTATAATATTGATGGGAGGGCCATAAATTAGGTGATTCAATTATGAATGGCACACGTTGATTTATTTTAGAAGATTGTACTCAATTAAAGTGAACTACGGATGTTCATGATTATTTTCCTTAACTACTTTGAAATTGTTGTGAGGTCATGGGAATTTTGGAAGGAGTTACCTATTTTATCTTTAAAATTATGAGACATTTATCTTAATCTATTGACTAAGCCTATTGGGCTTGGTAGATTTATACTCAATTCAGCCCATGTTTATTCTTTCCTCCCTATTAAAAGTCGTGGCCCGTTAACGTTGATTAATGGAAATTTTACCACCTATAGAATAGGTTAGTACCCTATTTATATTCTATAAATACCCTTTTAAAATATTACATTCTATAAATACCCTTTTTAGTTTATAGCAAAAAATCTAAATTTAGTTCCATCCTAAAATTAAGGCTTAATATATGCTACAAAATATTTTTCTAATCTCATTTTTTTTATTTTCTCTCACCTAATTTGCGTATATCTCCTCTCATCAGCTTTTCTCTCTCTTCTTCAATACACTTTTCCCTCTTCTCCCACAAACACACGTTCCATACACTTCCAAAACCCTCTTCTGCCATTATCGCCCCAAAGGCTATTCTTCTTCGCAAGCTTCACTGTTGTATTTTGGAAATTTTCTCCCCGTAGGTAATTCAACTACTTCGAAATTGCTTTTTCATTAGTTTGTTTCTATAAGTTTTTTTAGCGAATTTACACAATTTTCTGATATATCTTCCATTTGTATTGTTAATCACCAGGATTCTTTGAGTTTTCTCTCTAATGTCGGATGCAACGCCACTCAACAGACTACCCAGAGGTATACCCACCAAAATTCTCTATTTTGATGGGCCCTCTTTCTCGTTGCAACTGACTCAAGCGGAGAAAGATTTTGCAGGTTTATCAGCATCCAAAGTTGATGAAAGAAGAAGTAAAATACACAAGGACAAGTTGAAAGAAGTTCAAGTTGATGAAGCTTCAAAAGAAACCAAAAATCAACTTGGCTCAAAGAGGAAAAAACCTATGAAAGATTCAAGAAACCAAAAGGTAATTGGTATTTGTTACATGTATTCTGTTGTATTCATATCTATCTTCTTGTATTTTTGTACCTTTTTGTATAGTGTATTCTGTTTCTTCTACAGTATGTTTATGTATTCATATGTATTTGGTTGTTTCCAACAGTTCATTTTTAATGTAATCTTACATGTATTCATATGTATTCATGTGTATTTAGCGTTTGCTAATATATATTTGCGATAATTCAATTGTCCAGTTTGACCTCAAATGTATTCATATGCATTCATATGTATTCAGTTATATTCATCTGAAATATTTTGTATTATATATGTATGTTACAAAGTATGTTAGCATATATTTAGCCTTGTCACTGTATCTAGTCTTCTGTAAGTGTTTGTAGTTGTCTGACATGCATTTGGCTTTGTCACTGTATCATGTCTTACATGTATTCCAAAAAATCTTAATATGTATTTTTGCAATGTATTCATCTGTATTAACATGTATCTTTCAATGTTCATTGCAGGGAATTGATTTGTTTGTGAAACACCAGCCAAAATTAGCTCCCCATATTAGTAGTTACACTAACACTAATATAGTATCCCAGCTAAAAGATAAGCTCACTCCCGATCAGTTCCAACAATTCGGCAATACATGCTTTGGCTCATTTATTCAAATGAAGCGATTTGATGTTCAACATCAACTCTTCAGATGCTTCATGGCTCGACAGTTAAACGGCACTCCAAACAATGTATTTGCAGTATACGTCAATGGTACTGAATTACATTTCACATTAAGGGAGTTTGCGCTTGTGACTGGCCTCAAATGTGTAGGTAAAGATGAAGATTTTGAGTTTAGTGAAACTCCTCCTAACCGGCTTATTGCGACTTATTTTGGAAGTGCTAATATTGTAAAGAAGAAACACTTGAGACAATGCTTCAATGACAAGGCATGGGGCCCCGACAATGATGAGGATGCTTTGAAGATATCTTTGTTGTATTTCATCCACACCTTTCTATTTTCATCTGAGAATAATAGTGCAACTATACCGAGGCTAGATTTTGACTTAGTAGAGAGTGGGAACTATTCTGAATATCATTGGGGTATTAAAGCATTTGAGCTGTTGATAAACTCGATTAGCAAGAAGATAGATGCTTTGAAGAAGTATTACAGGATAGTTGGGATGCCCCTAGCTATGCAGGTGTGGTTTTATGAGTGCTGTTCTTCTGTTGATTCCAAAAT